ATGGTGTTATTATACGGTTTTCCAGGATGTAATGCTCTTAAAACTGTAAGGCTCTACATAGAACGTTTTCCACGTCGTCGCCAACCTAGCGTGCGTGCAATACTTGGAGCTGTCAATCGCCTTCGTGATAGTGGCTCTGTAATGCCGAACCATCATAACGCCGGTGCACCCCGTCATGCTCGTAATGATAGAAATGAAAAACGTATTACTCGTGCTGTAAAAGATGATTCTGAGACAAGTATTCGTCGTGTATGGCAAAATTCAACGCGTATTGCATTCCGAGAGATTACATGCATATCACTACACTCTTGTTCAAGGCCTTAACCAAAATGATTATCAAGAGAGACTAGATTTTTGTACATGGCTCATTTAATCTCACGATCAAGATAATAATTTTTTGAGCAATATTCTTTTCACTAATGAGTGCACCTTTGGGCGTTCAGGATGCTAGAATTACCACAACAGTCATATGTACGGCTACGAAAACCCACGAGTTACATTTGTCCAAAGGTAATTTGTCATTGTCCTCAACTTAATCAGTTAAAATCGCTGTAAATCATTGATAACACAATTATTCATATTTGTGTTCTTTTATTTGCATAAAGAGAATATAAAAAGTCATCTACAGTACATAACTTAGAGTCTTCATATTACTTTTCAGGTTGGGCCATTTCAATTTGATGGAAACCTAAATGTAAATAAAATGTTTTATTCATTATAATAGAAATTTTATTATTAGTTAGCCACAATAACGTCAGAAACTGGTCAAAAAATATAATATTGTAGCGAATAAAAGATAATCATAAGGTAAAATTACTAAGTACTAATCTTTCAGGTAGGTCAAAATTTAGTTGGACTGTGTGATAAGAGTATCAAATGATTAATAAGGATGCTTAATGGTCAGAATCAAGCCAAAAACTTATCAGTGCATGTGACTAATTTCTTGAGTAAATAATCATCTATCTGGTTGATTAAAATATAATCAGACCAGGACAGTAAATGGGAAAGCGTATCAACGTAAGATTAACCATTAAAAATGATCAAAATCTAATCAAAGAGGGTAATATGTGTATCCATTACATAATAATCATTCAGAAAATTAAAATGGTTGATTGACTAAATATTGACCTCCCAAGATGATCAAAATCTAGTCAGAAAGAATAGAAAGTGTGTGGAATGGATGATGATTATGCTGAATGGTCAGAATCTCTGTCAGAAACCCTTCTGAGAAACGGAATGGTCGATTTACTGAATATTATCCTTCTAGATTAGAAAGAATCCAGTCATAAACTAGTCAGAAAGAGTAAAAAGTGTTTGAAATGGATCATGATTATGGTAAATGGTCAGAATCTTTGTAAGTGACTAGTCTAAATAAGTAAATGGTTTATTCACTAGATATTGACCATCCAAATTAGTCAGAATCTATTCAGAAAGTAGTCGAAAATTATTATTAGTTTATCTAATGAATAATGATCCATTTGAGTAATCAGCATTTGGATAGAAGCAAATGAAAATATGTAGAAGGCGGTTTGACTAGATCTCAATCTTCTAAGTTGGTCAGAAAGCAGTAAGACACTAATCAGAAAGTGTTATGAATGCATTTAAAAAATGATCAACTATCTAGTTAATAAGAATCTAGCGAAAAAATATTCAGAAAATAGAATAGATGATAATCATGCTAAATGGTCAGAATCTTTGTAAGAGACTAGTCTGAATAAGTAAATGGTTAATTTACTGAATATTAGCCTTCCAGATTGGTCAAAATGTAGTCAGAAAGTGTTATAAGTGCATTTAATGAATGATTATCTATCTAGTCAATCCGAATCTAGCGAGAAAAAATTCAGTAGGTGTGAGTGGTTGATTTACCGAATGTTGTCCTTCCAGGTTAGTAAAAATCTAGTCAGAAACTAGTCAGCATGTGCTATAAGTGTATGGAATGGATCATAATTATGCTAGATGGTCAGAATCTCTTTAAATTACGTTGTAAATGTAGTAAATGAACTATTTTCTTTTCACTTGATCAGAATTTAGAGAAAATGTTAGAATATGTATTTAATCAATCACTTACGAAATGAATGCTCGTTGGTCCGAATCATGTCAAATTCTAATCGGTCAATTCAAACTGTACATTGAACCAATTTCGTACCAAGTTCTCCGAGAACGAATTCGACAATCTCCATGCTACCTTTGATTTTTAAATGAAAATATCAATTTTTTTTACAATTTAGAATTTTTTTTTTTTTTTTTCTTTGCATTCCTTGAGACAGTTTTCTAGCGAGTGAACGCTCATAAAATTTTTTTGTGTATGAATGGGCAGTAAATCTAATTCAAAAGGTGTTTAAAAATTGAATAGTCTTCTTTGTGATAAGACGTATCCATGTCTCGATGTACTTTTAGATTTCATAGAGGCAGGTTGTGAGATAACAATGCCTCTGAAAAATTTCATTTGCCTCCGGTTACTGAATCAAGCATGGGATCAATAGTTTTCGCCTTTAGTTAGAAGCTGGTCAGAAAATGATTAAGGTTTGAATTGGTTTTATAATGTGTAAAATACTATGTTCAAGTTTAGTTAGAAAGTACTTAAGGAAGAGTAAAAGTATTCTTGTATAGTAGTGATAAAATGTTGTTCTATCTGGAGGTAATGATTTTATTTTTGACCGTAAGATGTGATATGATGATGCCTTATTGTTCAAAATATCTTGTTCGCCTCCGGTTACTTAATCAGCAATGGGATGTATGGTTTTTTAATTTTAGTAAAATTGTGTTCGTTGGTAAGCATAGTTGGACACCAGGATTAGGACAACTGTAGGATTTAATAGGTTACAATTAGAATTGATAATTATTTGTTAGGAAAATCAACAGATAAGCTTTTTTCCTTATCTCACGCATACTGACTGTCATATGCTTAAAATAATGATTATGGTTATTAAATGATTAAATTCAATAATTAGCGCGTGACCGGCATGTTCGCTTCAACAATGTGAGTTTTATCTGTTCCGAACGTTCGCAGTTACTCTTGTTCAACTCAAGAACTATTCGAGAGTGCGTTGTCCATTTAAACAATTATTATTTCCTTTTTTGTTCGAATAACCCAAAAAATTAAACTTTATTCTCATATCTATTTATAATTTTTTGATATCATTTATTTGCGTATTCTAAAAACGATAAAAGAATGTGAAGTCAGTTTAAACTACTCGGTTGTTTTTACATCGACCTTTCGCTGCCCTCTGGTCAATTGCAAAAGCCTTAGGCCGTCTAGGCTGCTAAGGTCAAAAACTGAACCGAGGTTCTGCGCTGCCTGATATGCTGCTCTACATAGGAACACATCCCTTCCCAATAGTTCAAAGCTGTTCACGAACTTGAGAAGAGGATCAGAGCTCTCATAGATGTCATAAGGCAGACCTATCACTAACCTGTCATATAGACACTCCAAACTTAGTAGTCCACGCCCTCCCAGATCACGGGAAAAGTATAGGCGTTGAACAGAAGATCGCGGGTGATGACTTCGATGTAATGTCATTACCTTCCTCGTGATAATGTCTAGATCTTTGAGCTCTCTTCGGAGCCATTTGAGAACTCCGAATAAGTATAGCAAGACTGGGACAGCAAGCATATTCGTAGCTGCGACTTCGTTAGGGCCTGATAGTTCAGAGCCCCATATTCTCTTCAGTCGCCACTTGTACTCACTGCAGAGAGTATCATTGATAACAGAGACATCCTGCGAAGGAGATTGTGCCTGTCCAAGATATCGGTATGACTCTCCAGCATCCAGATGTTTTATGATGCTCCCGTCTGTAAGCTCGACATTATCACTCCAGTTCGGCGATCTTCCTTTTACTAAGTGGGCAACTGCGCACTTGTCCAACCCAAACTCCATGCCGATTGCACTGGTATACTCGGAAACAGCCTCTAGTGCTGTTCGGAGTCTCTCAGGATTTGCCGCGTACACTTTCAAGTCATCCATATAAAATAGATGTGTGACTTTGTGTACGCGGTTGGAGACTCGTCCGGCTTTATATCCAGGCGTTTGGCGTAGAGTGACAGATAATGGCAGCAGTAAGATGCAAAATAGAAGAGGACTCAGGGTATCTCCCTGGTATACGCCTCTCCTAAATGGCACTGCTCTGGTAGACAGTCTTGTTCCACCAGATGTTACAGTGAAACGTGTCCTACGAATTAGCTTTAGAAAGTTGTAAAAAAGCTATTCAATTAGAAAGGAAATGACAGTAGACGAAATAATCAAAGCAAAAAGGTACCCATATATTTTTTTTAATCAAAACTAATTATCTATCTCCCGATTTTCTCTTAAAATTCATTTATTCTTATAAATATCTATTGATTTGTTTATTCTTCTTCGTAAAGTGCATTTTTGAATCACTTTCTTTCCAGTGTACAGTTAAACTCCCAAGACATTTTAGAGGTATAGGATACAAATTCGCAAAGAGTAGATGGTGAACAGGTTCCCATTACAGTTTTAATAGATACTGCATGGATGACGAGAGGAACTGGTCGTAGTCACAACAGCAATACAGGTAATCATGAGCATATTTTTTAAGGTCAAAATCCCAATCGTTGTTTATGAGTTTCTTCGTGTTCAGTAAATTTTATTTTAAAGTGAATAATATTATTTTGTATAAATGTTTATTATAAATAATGCTCTGCTATTCTTGATAATCACATAAGTTTTTAATCAATAAAGTAATATAATCATGTATTTTTTGAACTGAAAAAGAATATTGGAGTAAAGTTTACTGAACAAGAATAAGTTCATGAGTAAAAATTGGGACAGGGACTTTATGTGATTCATATCTTTTCTTGACATTGATTGTAAAAATTAAAACTACGATTTTTTTGTATTTCAGCTCATTCAGCATTGATTGAATATAGGTCAAAAAAATTTTTTATCTATTGCAACACGTAATAAGTATTGCAGATGTCTTTATCAGGATGTTCCTACAGACCATAATTGTACAATTAATTTTAAGGGTAGTTCTAAGGCTATGGGGCCGAGTATGGCTGTAGAGCTTGTTGTTCATAATAATATTTTAAAAGAAACTCAGGTAATGGTTGGTACATTAGTTGGTGATGATGATTCATCAACAATTTCAGCTGTTCGAAGAGCATCATCAATACCCATAGAAAAATGTTCTGATATGAATCACGCGACTAAATTCCTTTCAAATGCTTTGTATTCGATGAAATTACCATCGAATATAATTAAATATTTTAAGCGTTGTTTCAGTTATGCTGTCAGTGAGCATAAAAATAAACCTGAACAACTTGAAATTGCCATAAAAAGCATAATTCCTCCCGCCATGGTGATCATGACAGTTGCGGTAAGTGGTGTCGATACCACGAAGAAAAAGAAAATTTTCGTCATCATGGTTTACCTAATGGTGAACCATTGGATAATTTAATAATGAAAGAAAAATTAACTAAAGTTTTTAATCGATATGCTAGTAATGCTATTAAATTAGCACCTTGCGCGTCAACTCAGAAAAATGAAGCTTTTAATAGTGTGGTTACTTCAAAACACCCAAAAAGTAGGTTTTATGGAGCATCAGAGAGTTTTATTACATGTGTTCATAGTGCTGTATGTCAGATGAATAGGGGCACTAGCTATGTTGTGAAATTAAATGAAAAATTATCTTTATCTCCTGGTAAGAATACGATTAAATTTCGTGCTGAAAAAGATAAAGAACGTTTGAAACACAAAAAGGTATCTGAAACTCCGAAATTTAAAAATCGACGATTGTTTAGAAAGAAAGAACGTTCTCAATAAATTATTTCAGTTCAGAGAAAAGAAGGGATTTCATATCAATCCAATTGTGGATTGATGAGTCAACAATTGGAGATTAATAATAACGGTTTAGAACTTAGTAAGTTTTTTTGTATTATAGAACAAAATCGGTGAGTTTTTTTCTAATTTTTTATTATTATTGGATCTTATTATTGCAAGGTAGAAATACGAAACAAACAATGATCTGTAAAAAGAGATGTTTATATATATTGTAAAATAAGACTCGATAACAACTTCGGAAAATTAGTAAATAAAGAAAAATGTTTATTAATGATGGACAGCAATTAATTAAAAGTAAGAATCCGTGCGGTCAACTCAAGTCACAGTCAAAAACTGAAGATAAACAAACTCTCCCCTCATTGCTATAAACAATCTAATCGTCAAGCAAGCGTTGTTAACTAACAAACTGTCGTTAGTCTAATAGTCATTAGATGGCGACATACAAATATTTTACACTTCTCCCGATCTTCTAAAAAATTGCCACCTGGCAATTTCTATTAGTTGGGATTAGGCTGAAATAAAAAAACATGAAAAATCTAACATTTAATTTCTAATTCGAAATTATGATAATCAAAATAATAATCATTCAGCCTAGATTCCAATATTGCCGCTTCCCAACTCCGTCTGCTTTAAAAAATGAATAAAACAAATAATTAGGAGGGAAAAATCCTGCGGCGGGTAAAAACCTCCAAACAGCTTAAAATGATCTAAATTAAACTAAAAACGTGATTCTATACAATAAAAGATTTCTTAAAAACTAATCGTCCGTTAGTCAAATTAAAAATTAAAAATTAAAATTTCCATCTTCAATTCCTTTTCCATCCTTCTTTTTCATCAGGAGGAACCACTGGGAAGAACCAAAAGAACCCAAAGAGTAGGAAATGCCAAGAACTGGAAGGTCATGGAACTAAACAAAATAAAAGTTCCTCACAGAATCAAAGTTCTTGTAAAAAAATTTCATTTTTAATCATAAATTCAATGTTCAATTAATAATTAGGTTGAATGGTCACATTTCATGGAGTCAATTCTTCAAATAAATTCCGACTTCGCATCCTTTTTGAATAAAATCCGACTTTCAAATAAATGATTAAATATCATTAAAACAATCAATTCAATTCCACCTTGCGCAAGGAATTTTCAAAAATAAGTTCAATAGCTTCTGCTCACTGTGCAAACTAAATTATTAAAAATTAGGTTCACAGTTACGCATACTATCCGAACAAAAATATTAGAATACCATGGACATCGAGTACCTCACTTTGCTTCACTTTGGCCAATAAATGAAAAAAAGGATTCCAGTACAATGACTCCAACCGTGTATATCCTACAGTAACTCCACGAGAACGCTCTAGGACAGACATTGTGAATTTAAATCAACAATCAAATGATCAATGAGAGCCAACATTCTCAGAATGGAAGTTGCAAAAACCCTGAATTCAACAGAAATTAGGAATCCAGAAAGAGTCAACAATGATTTATTATCATCATACGGAGCGAGTCTAATCATTCAATCACTTAAAAACGACCATTCAAGATTTTCTGAAAATTCGAAACACAACATCTTTAAGTACATTTCAGATGCATGGAGACCCTCCAAAAATAACTAAAACTTCAGGCCATTTCCTTCACTTTAAAGAAAAATTAAATCAAATCTATGAATTTAATTAAAAATAATCGCGAAAGCTAACGAACTATTTTTAGTCGACGAAGTTGAGACCGATTCAACCAAATTATTAGAACTATTTTCTAAATTATTATTATCAGAGTTATGATTATAAATAGCAGTAATTAAGTTTCTTATCTCTGATGCTAGAAATCTTCCATTGGTACCCTCTTCGATATAAACGGCAAATTGAGTTGTCTTTCCAGCTCGAGTTTGTCTCCGACTTGGACTCTTTGGCATGATTTTTAAAATATTCTTCCAAAAATTACCAACAAAAATATTCACGGCACGCGAAACGAACCACTTTCTGACACAAATGTAAAATAAGACTCAATAACAACTTCGGTAAACTAGAATAATGAATAAAATGTTTATTAATGATGGACAGCAATTAATTAAAAGTAAGAATCCGTGCGGTCAACTCAAGTCACAGTCAAAAACTGAAGATAAACTCTCCCTTCGTTGCTATAAACAATCTAATCGTCAAGCAATCGTTGTTAACTAACAAACTGTCGTTAGTCTAATAGTCATTAGATGGCGACATACAAATATTTTACAATATTTTAATTAGCGAAAAGCTTAGTTAAGGTTCATAAAAAGTTTAATGTAACTCAATTCCTTACAGTTATAATTTTACTAATAAGATTGTACTCAAATTGATTATTTAATTTTGTACAAAAAACTATTTCGCTAATACACAGTTTACTTTATATGTTGATAATTTATGTCACTTATAGATGCTACCCTGAACGATATAGATTTAAGTATTGCAAATTATGTGTTTGTCGATATAGAAACAGCGTCTCTTGGTGGGATGACTGATATTTGCCAGGTTGAAGTTATCGTTTACTTGTATTATTTATTATCTAATATCTTATTCCATATTCACCTTTATTTTTGATTAAATAACTGTTTTTTTTTGTTAAAATTAACTTTTATAGATAGCTGCTATATGTATAGATAAAAATTTCAATTGTTATATCGTACCTGATCAAGAAATTCATCAAAAAGCTACAGAAAAAACGGGGTTGTATGTATTAAATAATCAATTATTTTTAAATGGTCAAAAATTTGTGACTGTTTCAATCAGTGTAGCTCTCAAAAATTTTCTACTCTATTTAAAGTCCTTCAATCATCCAGTAATATTGGTAGCTCACAGAGGTCACAGGTACTTATCTTAATTAATTCATATGATATTATACATCATTTGCAATGATTTTAAATTTTTTTATAGATTTGATTTCCCAGTCATTATATGGCACATGACCAAAAACAATTTAATAAAAGAATTCGCAATTTGTGTTGCTGGTTTACTGAATTCATTGACAATTTTTAAGAAATGTTGTCGCATAGTCCAATGAAGGGATGGCTGAAACTACCATATTGCGGTAAAAGAATGAAACCAACGCGAAAATGTGCGTAAGGGTCGTAGGAATATTATTGCAAAAAGTCAGGATCCTAAATGCAAAGGAACCCTTGCAAAAAAAATGCGAAAGAGTGCAAAAATGACTTTTTCCGTAATATCTCGAGGACGGCTGGAAATATGAAGAAAAGTTTCAAGTAAAAGTTGTAGAAAATTAAATTCTCCGTAGAACGTCGAATTTTTTTAAAAATTATTTTATATTTTAAAAATATTTTTTTTAAAGAAAACCAAATCAGAGGGCTTCTTTATTACTCTGACAATATTTTCAAAGGTTTTTTTTTAATGAACTTTTCATTAATTAACATTAATTTGAAAATTTCAAATTAATTTTTTTTATTTTTAATCGAATTGAATTTTTTTTTTTCTCTTCCATTCGATTCAGCGTAAAATTTACGATACAGTATGCTCTCTTACTTGGATTTCCATTTTAATCCACGTGAGATAGATGAAAAAAATGAATTGGGGCACTTTTTATTTCTTACGTTACTGCCGCTGAGAAAGAACGACATATCTCTCCTTTTCATTCGCACTCATTCCATTTTTCTGCACATGCGCGGCGCATAGAAAAGTGTAAGTGCGAGAGAGAACGGCAGTTTCTTCCGTTTCACTTGCACTCACTATATTTTTATACACCTGCGGAGTACACTACAAATTTTCAGCTTGATTGAAATAATTTGAATGATGATAATATTTTTTAATTATTTAAAAAGAAGATCTTTTTCTTACAGAATTATTTTTTTAATAAATTTGATTGTTAACTTCCGGTTATCAGAAAGGTTCAAAAATTTGCACACATGTATGTCACGATGTTGAAATTATATTAGCATTGCAAAATGTTGCAAAAGTTGATAAATTTTTGTGTTATGCAACATATAAATGCAAAAAAAAAAGTTGATCTCATTCGATAGAGAATTAAATTCTCTATCGATCTGTATATATAAAAATTATTACTTTTTTTACCCAATTTTCCATACTTTAAATATTTAAAAAACTTAGAAAAATTTTTAAAGATTTCATACTTGAGTCAAAACGCATTTTCGACTCAAAACCAAGAATGTCCATAGCTGCTGACTATTCATATAGAATAATAGCAGTAATAAAATTTTATATGTTTACAGTAGGATTCAATGGGCCCTTTTCTATCTTTTGCGCTTCTACTAGAGGAGTGACATGCTTCCTTCCGTCCGAATTCGTATTGTTATAAACAATGTGTAATTTTTACGAGTCATATTTGGTTATGAACAACAATGTCTAGTCAGTATCGACTCAATTTTCAAATAAAATTGTTATTGTTTGACTTAAAAGTATTTCAAAAATTTAATCTTTTCATTTTTTATTAGTTTTTTTGTTATAAAAACAACGGCTCGACCGAATTTGTTTAAATTCTACGAAAATCTTCTTTATGATAATATCTTTCAAATTAATTTTAGTTGAAGTCGATATTTTAACCCGTTCTTGCAATATCGAAAACAAAAAAACTGCTGTCATACGTACGTACACACACACATCATTCTAAAAATTGGTCAGTATACTTGAAAATACCCGGAAACGTGGAGATGTAATGAAAATCAAAATTTCACCAATCGACCCAATTTCAATAACTTTCCAATGGAAAGTTAATAGTTTTGATATCATTGAAAGTCTTGTGAAATATTCCGTCTCTCCACCTCATAACCTCCGGTATCCTGTTTTACTATCGAGATTCTACGGTAAACTTATGTTTGTATCATGCACAACGTGTGCTGTAACCATTTATCAGGATGATTGTTGCCATCACGATATAGCTGACCGTGTATTACACAATATGTGAGTTGTTGATAAAGTGCATGAAGCTATAGAGGAATGGTATCGCATTTCAAAAGTATTAGAAATATAGCAAGATAAGATAATCCAGTA